TTTAAACGGCTGAACGGATCTCGATGAAATTTGGCATAGACGCAGAGGATAGTCTGGAAGAACACATAGGCTACTCATTTTTGTTTTTTTATTTTAGCTTTTTTATTTAGAGGTTCCAAAATACACGTTTGGCTAAACTATCAAACAATTGTTTAGTTACGTTTTGATTTCTATGAGTTTATATGGAGGGATTCTTAGTTGTGAAACTTAACAATAAAAATAAGAAATAAATAAACAGTTCAATTTGCTGCGAAACAATTGACTTTCGCACAACACAGCGATAATTTGCTTAACATGAGTTAAATACCGTGGCGTCCCACACATTGGCCAGGAGGGAACGAAGGGGTTTAGTGAGGTATGCCCCCACTATGGGGGGAGAGTCCCACATAACTCACGTGTCTGCTCCGAGGCATGGAGTATGCGTAACGCCTTCGAAAAAAAATGGTGTTTTTACAGAGAATTGTTTAGTCTTATGCTTCCATGATTTTGGATATACTCTATATTACATTTTACAATTCCAGTTGGTACAAAGCTACCCACGTGGAGGACTCTGCGGAGCAGCACGTGTACACGGCGAGCGCGGCGCGCGAGGTGGCGTGCTTCTCGTGCGGCATCGCGCGCGCCCGCGGACAGTGCCTCTACAACGACGCCCTCCTCAGCGCAGACACCTCCCGCCTCGCCATCAACTGCGCCGGCCCCGGCCTGCCGCAGATATTTATTTATGACGTGGTAAGAATGCCAAAACCCATAGACAGTAGAGCTAACGAAAAAGAACAGATAAATCATAATTCCTCCTACCTTATCCTACCTCCTACTCCCTTATCATGTAGTGTCGGTGCACCGGTTTTCGTTCTGCAAGTAACTCTTATCATCCGTCATCTCAGTCATCCCCTTCTTGATCATGTCACCTTTCACGCAATACGTCTTTTTCCTCCTCCAATTCCTTCACACTCCTAACTCACGTCCTTCTTGTAACATGTAACTAATTTAACTGATTTTTCACATGCTTCAATGGATTTCTATTTAAAATTCATAGACAGTCACGGAAAGAGTTCCCGACAATTTAAATCACTGCAATACAATATGACTAAGATTTTATTAACTACTACTTTCTTGATGGCCAGTAACCATTAGTTTTTCTGTTTAATAGACCATAAACTACGTTTTAGAATACTCCTAGACGATATTCTATTCAACTTATGATACGATTAGAGAGCGCATTTTGACTAAACTATCACCCAACTGTTTTAGTCTCGCTTTGATTCATATTACTCGATTTTTAGTTGTGCAACTAAACAGTTGAATGGTTTGCGAAACAATTGACAATCGACAATCGTACAATAGTTATGCGATAGTTTAGTCAAAGCCTGTGTAATGTTTAAATCTTATTTAGTTTTATTGTCTTCATTTAAGAATGGTACTTTACTGAAAACGTGGGACGACAACGCGGAGACATCTTTGCTGCTAGCAGACCGCCAGTTGCCGGTGACGCTGCGTCTGAGCGTGCCGGTCGCAGCCGGCTTCCCCGAAGCGGACGTTCACATACAGGCTCCGCCCGACTACCTCTCTCGTACCAATGTACCTTTATTAGTTTACGTGTAAGTTTGTTCAATCATAATTTCTATCTTTATCACAACTAGCTGTTTCCGTACTGCTTCATCCGCATGGAATTATAAAAACTACATTTCACTGTTTACATTTGTATTTCAATTGCAAAAGACAAAATTTTAATGCACAAATGACAACAAAGGCCTTTGACATCGGATAACAATTACCGTTACCATGGCAACCTTGCTTCCTCGATTTTGTCAGCTTGTATTCTTTGTCCCTTTCCCGCATGACGGTTTTACCCAAATTAGTTACTCTCTAAGTTTTTTTGGGACTGATTTGGCATTGTTTGACTTGAAAAGGCATTTACAGATTATTCTTTAAGTTCAATAGTGTGACGAAACATGGCCTTAAGCGTATCGTAAGTGTATGGATTTTTATTAAAAAAGTATTATTCAAAAATATACTGAGATTGGTGACATCCTACATAAATAAGTAACGTGTGTTACGCTTTATTATATTAGTATAGGTATTAGATTATATTATACTAGCTGTTACTCGCGACTTCACTTACGTAAAAATATAGCCTATGTTACTCAACGATAATGTAGCTTTTTGATATTGAAAGAATCAGTGACATATGCCCCAGTAGTTTTTGAGTTATTTCAATACATAGAAAAACACAAAATTATCCTCTTTATTATATTGTAAACAATGGCGTTGTATGTATGTACAGTTATGGTGGTCCGGACACTGCGTTAGTAACAAAGCAGTGGACGCTGGACTGGGGCACGTCGCTCGTGAACCGCTGGGGCATCGCGGTGGCGCACATCGACGGCCGCGGCTCGGGGCTGCGCGGCGTCGCCAACATCTTTGCTATCAACCGCAGACTCGGCACCGACGAGATCGATGATCAAGTTACCGTCACAAGGTACGTATAGCAAACTCAGATAGAGATCGAACTATCGCACAACTGTTTAGTCTTGCTTAGTTTCTTATACACACTACAAGTTTTTTAGTCGTGTTTTTAGTTATTGCCAGAATCAAATTCATAATACTGTGGTATAGATATGACGGTTAGTGAAAACGGTCATTAATAAAATGTCTTACAAATGACATTTTAATATAACATTCTATAACTACACGAAACACTTCATCCACTCGACTCTTAGAGCGCACACCTGAACTATCGCACAACTGTTTACTCGCGGTTTGATTCCTATGAGCTTATATTCAATACAAATTCTTTAGTCGTGCAACTAAATAGTTGAATTTGCTGCAAACAATCGACAATCGCACATTTTAGTCAAAGGTAGTCTTACTCTTACTCAGACATTTAAATTATGACAGAATGATACCCTTCTTTTCTAACTTCTGATCTGGCACGGGACGCCAATTTATTTTTAATTTAAGAACACGATTCAGCGTAACATTTGTATTAGAGTTGGAGTTTGAAAGTAAACTTAGCTAAGGAATATCAGAAAATGGACTTCCTACGCCGAAGATAAAGAAGATCGTTTAATGCTATAGAAATATATCATGTTTTAATAGTGGTCTAGAAGAATAAGGATTTTCGTTCCAGGACACTCCAGCAGCAGCTGCCGTGGCTGGACGGCAACCGCACCTGTATCTGGGGCTGGTCGTACGGCGGCTACGCGGCCTCGCTGGCGCTGGCTCGCGGCGCTGATGTCTTCCGCTGCGCTGCGGCAGTCGCCCCCGTCGTCGACTGGAGATTCTATGGTACTTCAATTTCCTACATCCATAGCAATTACACAATTATCCAAATAATCCCTAAAGATACTAAAGTAAAATACGGTGGTAAATGTTGGTTTGTACCCAAACGGAATAGGCAATATGCACATGACGCCAAATTTCAGAATATTTCTGTAATTTGTTATTTAAGAACATGCCTTGAAAGACTTTTTAATATACTATGACGTAGTAGCGTTTGATTATTGAAAACTGTATTTAAAAAATCCCCTAGCTAAGTTCTAAAACGCATCGCTATTGGTTATCTTTAACACCTATAACTTTCTTAAGTTATAGGTGGGTTTACTCACTTTTTGATGTTTGATAACTCTGAGAACCAATCAAATACTTTGTTGTTGTTTGATGACGTCATAACACTCCGGCCACGTTTTAGTCGGAGAAAATGGTCGTGATTTTGTTTTTTATTAACTCAATGGTTTTTGCATTCCTGTCAATTTTTTTCTAGTTATAACAAGTAGGAACGTTTAAAAGAAAAAAAATACATGCAAACCTATTGATAGAAGACATACATATTCAAATACAAAAATAAAATTTTGTTTTTGTCAATTTTCAGATACAATTTACACGGAAAGATACATGGACACGCCGCAGAACAATCCGCAAGCATACTTTAATTCTTCGCTTCTTACACCAGAAGTGGTACGTATTTTTATTATTCTCTTAAATGGAATGAGCTAAAGTGAAACGAGTTCAGTTTTTTTAAGCTTCTCCTAGACGCTTCAAACAAGAAAAATGTCAATTCAAATTATTGTAAACTAGGTTTTGCAAGACTTCGGTGCGAAATTTAAAAAAAAAAACTTAGTAAACAAACATATTTTTGGACTATTATATATCTTTGTCAAATTATATCGAGATCCATTGAACCGTTTTACAGATAAGTAGTCAAACAACTATTAATTTATATTCAAATTCATAATATTAGTCTTACTTTCCTACTTATATTCTAAATGCGAAAGTTCAGATGAATGTCTGATAGAGTTTGTAGCCTAAACGGCTGAACAGATCTAACCAATTTTGTACAGATGTAGAGCATAGTCTGGAAGAACACATAGGCTACTTTAACTTTTTTAATTCCTTGCGGACGGAGTCGGGCGGAATCTAGTTTGATATACGCAGAGTAGTTAATATGCTTGAAATGTTATATTCGAGGTGTCGGCGTACCGCAACAAGCGCTACTTCCTGATCCACGGCACCGCCGACGACAACGTGCACTACCAGCACGCCATGCTCATCTCCCGCCTGCTGCAGCGCGAGGATGTCTACTTCACGCAGATGGTAACTTGTTACAATTGTCTCTGGTTCTAATTGTCCTCTAATTCTCTCTAAACTTTTTTTCTTCCATTGTCCCAAACATTCGTTAAATTGTCCTTAATTTTAGAATACAGCATTGAGGAGTAGTAATTAGTTTAATATTCGCAGGTTCTTTTTAAGTAGTAAATAACTCTGAGTGATAATCTACAGTGATGGATTTTCTGAGGAATCAGTAGTGATGTTAAATTATGATTTTTGTTTTCACTATTCCGATAGACCCAATTTACAGCAACTTTAAGTAAATGAACACAGTCTTAATATGGAAGAGAAATCTATTAAGTTTATGGTAATGCCCTCGACTTTACAGTCAGAAAATACCTAAGCATTTTCTAATACTATCATCTTTCTCCTTATCCTACTCCCTTAGGGTCGGCGCAACAGGTTTTGGTCCTCCACAAAACTCTATCCGTCATCTCAGTCGTCACTCCCTTTTTGATTATGTCACCTTTCACGTAATCCATCCATCTCTTTCTATGTCTACCTCTATCCATAACGTTCTCCTTATAACATGCGATTCATCACTCCTACTATTCATACATATTTACATACCATACATAAATTGGTTATTTTGTATAACAGAGCTATACCGACGAAGATCACGGATTGGTCGGCGTCAGACCTCATCTCTACCACGCTTTAGAGAAGTTCTTACAAGAAAATATGCTGTAGATAGAAGCCGCAGAAGTAAGATCAAATCAGTGCTAATATCAAATTACACACTTATTTTAAATCAATACGTAATTAAAATAATTGACAATATTCGTAGTTCCCTTGATGGAGTCATTTTAATTTAGATAATGTGTTGTGGTACAAATTACTTATTGACATTTTATAGTATAAGAGACTATGTTACCTGTGAAAATACATATTTTATCTTCTAAGAGTGTGCGCATCTTTGACTAAACTATCGCACGACGGTTGTGCGATTGTCGATTGTTTCGCAGCCCCAACTAGTTGCACAACTAAAAAAAAAACATGCAGACGAATTGAGTACCTCCTTCTTTTGGGAAGTCGGTCAAAAATCGAGTAGTGTGCGCTCCATATAAGGTCGTAGGAATCAAAGCGCGACTAAACAGTTGTGCGATAGTTTTGTCAAAGGTGTGCGCGCTCTAAGAGTCGAGTGGATGAAGTGTTTCGTATAGTTATAAAATATGTTTTATTAAAATGTCATTTGTAAGATATTTCATTAATGACCGTTTTCACTACACATTAATACCACAGTATTATGAATTTGATTCTTGCAGAAATCAGTGGAAACGGGAGTTAAAATGTTACTTAATTGTTGCCAAATCGAAGCAGTACGTTACAGGGTTGATTATTCTTTTAAATATTTATGTTCATAGCGTCTTATGCAATAAAGACAATTCGAAGAGATGTTATAAGATATAGCCAAGAGTTTTATGTAAATATTTTTTCTAGATATTTTAAGTGAAAAATGTCGTAATAAATTTGTTTTCTACAAAAAGTTTCTTTTACTTTTTATTCTTATACTTTATCTATACTTATACTATATCTATACTTTATGTGAAGCAAATTGTTTTGATCAAAAATTAGAAGAAGTCTTAAAAAAGCATACAAAATGGTTTCTAAACTATAGGAGTATATACGTCTATCAGCATTTCAATTCCCTGCCCAATTTGTATTTTCGTATACAGACATTTATATGTAAAATAGGAAATGTTTGTTTGCAAGAAAGCGTCGCAATACGTCGGTACGCAGTACAAGTGGGATCCATCGTTTCTCATTTTCGTTTCCTATTACCAAACAAAGTGTATTGATACAAGACACAGGGACACACGGCCCGAACTTCCGACGTACTATATTCTTCGATTAAAAATATGCAATTTGATACAGTAAGTTCGTAAATCCGTTTATAAAAAATCTTAAGATACAGAAAACCCCTCGGCCTTTTACAGGTAGAATACTACTCGTAGATCAATTATTTTATATTACAATGAGGAGCGTATTCTTGAAAATTCAGTTGTAAATTGTCCGTTAGACTTCAAAACCTTCCTTTTTTTAACTAATAAATGGTAAACTAATGGTATATAACTAACTAAAAACTAAATAACTAATATATATAAATGGTAACTAAATGTTAGTTTTATAAATAAATTGTAATCAAACTATACTGTTCGATGCTAATTTGTATATGAACATTTACATTTGCTTCGTAGCCTTTGTTCAGTAACCTTAGTGTCCGTGTGTCGAAGCTATGAGTGTTGTTTGCGGGGAATGTTTTCGGCATCCTGTTACCGAAGCAAACATGTTTTACCGACACGGGATCGGTAAAAGAGCGCTTTGTTCGGAACACTTTCTTAGTTTTTCCTTTAGTATTATCCGGTGCTCTTGTTGAAAATATGTTGTGGTTTCTCGAGCGTATAGAACAAACACTTGATATTCAGCAACTTTTAAAATTATACGTTTTTCTTCGGATTTAAGTTAAAAATGTTTTTATTCAAAGCGGTTGTAAATCCTCGTCTTCTGTATTTGATGATGATAGAGGTAAAAGTTTTATATCTTTGAATTACAATTAAAGCATTGTGAACACGAAAGCGCAGGAAATCTTGAGGGATGTAAACACAACAATGATTATCATGCGTAAACAAACACACGCATGTTGTAAAACAAACCTAATCGCTAGGGAACGTAAACAAAGCTACGAGTATAATTAGTAATACGCTTAGAACACTTATTAAGAAAGTCAACTCTAGAACCAAAATAGGCATGAAATAACTATTTTATTTTCCTTACAGTATAACAATAAGGTATATTTTCCATTAATATGTTACAAGAAGTTGGTTTTTGGTAATAATATCATTAGTAATAGGGTAGTAATTGTTTTACAGTTATCCGACGATTCGGGATTTACTTTTTTTTTACAGTATTTGGTTCAAGTTGTAAAAGCATTACATTTACAATTTAATAACGAGGAATATCTTCTGTCAAGTCTGATATAATATAAGAAAATGCCGCCAAAAAGGCAGCACATTTTACAACATCGTCTTTGTTCTGTACGTCCATTGTGTCCGCATTACTGTGATGATACCAAAAATATCGCTCATTTTTATTTAACAAAGAAGCACCCGGAACACCTTTACTGTTAAAAATTGTTATATCTGAACCAACAGTTGAGCTCACTTTCAGTTTATCAATTGGCTTAAATAATTTTAATACTTCTGCTACAATGCAAACTGCATTTTGTGATCCAGATACATCTAAACCCAAGGGTTCAAATGTTCCTTCATCTGATTCCATAATAAAATTGATATTGTTTAATTCGTTTATATGTCTATTTAAATATTCAATAGCACCGACAAGGCCAGGTTCCTCTGATGTCCACAGAATCGCACGAAGTGTTCTTCTAGGTTTTAATTTCAATTTATTTATAACAACGGGTACGTACCAACTGATGAACATACCACCTCCATCATCCATAGCACCCTGACCTACGTCCCAACTATCAATATGACCCGATACTATGACAAATTTGTCATGCTTTTCACCACCTTTTAAATCTATTAAAGTATTTCTAGAAGTTTTGTAATCTAGTGTACTGCTCATATTTATACTCATAACTATGGTAGCGCCTCGATCTTGGAGTCTTTTCAATAAATCAGCATCTTCATGGGTTATCGCTGCAGCAGGTATCTTTGTCACGTTACTGCCATAGTCTTGTGAACCAGTATGAGTTGTGTACAATGAAAATGGGGTAACACTTCGTATCAGTGATGCGACGGCTCCCTTTTCAGCCGCCTTTGTAGCACCTTCAACTCTATAAGCAACTGTGTCCCCATATGAAATATAATGAGCATCGAATACAACAATTTTACCTTTAATATTTGATTCTTTTGTTTCATTCAATTCATTAAAACTTCGAACAACAATGACTTCAGCCGTAATGCCACCAGGTGGAGTACTAACACTGGAACCTAGACCTAGAATAGCTATTGGTTTGATTCTAGGTTTGATCATCATGGCCGTTTCTGATCCACGAACCCAGTGTGGACTCTGAAAAAAGTTTTATAACAAATGTAACTGATATGAATTAGTACAAAAAAGTGTGAATTCTGGAGCGTGGTAGAACAGATACATACGGTGAGGTTTACCACTGTAATACAAAGCAAAATCAACGACTCTTATCTTATTAATTACTTTAAAGTAATAATAGTCTCTGTGTTGTTTCTAGCGTGTGGTTGATAGTGGTTTGCGATACCTAATACAAGATATAAAACTTGCAATTGGTTCTACTTAGTGTGTATGTAGATTACATTAAGAGAACATTATTAGTAAATCTTATGGCAATATAAATATGATTAGAAAACAATCACTTAAAAAACCTACTTAATCAGATAACCAAATAGAAATGAACATTAACAAATGTAATAAATGGATAGTTACCAGTACATCCTCAGTAGTAACTGTTTCTAATCCGTTGCTTCTTGTCAGATTTATCATATGGTCTATCGCTTCTTCCAGAACGACTGAACCAGCGGGTCGCGCTCCAAATTTGTCAATAAAGTTTGCATATCTAAAATTATACAATTAATTTGTATTTATTACTAGCTTTACCCCCGATTCTGTCCGCGTAAAATTAAATTTAAAAAAAAAACCAAAGTAATTAGACTGTGTGTTCTTTTAGCCTATCCTCTATGTCTATGTCAAATTTCATCGAGATCCGTCTAGTCGTTTAGGATACAAACACTAATAAACATCCATCGATCTATATAATTGAGAAACAACGGATATTCAAACAATTTAAATACATTTATTTAATTTTCTATATCTGTAAACGAAGTTTTTATATATTGGGACAATGTAACTCGTGCCACAAAACAAAATATTGCAATGTAATTTAGTCACATTCATTTGTTTATTAGGACTTCGTACGAACATCTTAACTGATAAAAACAGATCAAACAAAACACTCACTCATTGTAAAACGTGTCTCCATTATTTATTACTTCATTCATTATTGTCTTCGTAATATTCTTATACGAAGCTATTTCTTGAACTAATTTTAGATTTAAAGCACAATCACTTATATCATATTTATTTACTGTCATATAAGAATGTACATTATATTGTGTAAATATTAAAATTGTAAACAGTAGCTTCGTCATTTCGACGCATTTACTTTACGATTATCGTAACACAACTAGACTCAGAGTTTTATCGACTTGGTAATGGACCGATTTAGAGCATAGGTCAAAGAGTAAGAAGCAAGATTGTGGTAAAAAACTTTATTTTAGACCCATTGAAAATCTTTCTAATAATGTAAAAGCGAAAATTTAGATGGATGTTTGTTAGAGTTTGTAGCCTAAACGACTGAACGGATCTCGATTAGTCTGGAAGACCACATACTCTACTCACTTTTGTTTTTTTTTATATTATTTTACGAGGAAGGAGTCGCGGGCGATATCTAGTTTTTTACGTCTTAAGCATCCGTAATTAAAATTATAATTTTGCTTGTTTCATCCCAAGTATTATGAAGTGTTAATAACTAAAAATAGTGATTGCATTGTATTGCACAATATATTATGTGAAGAATGCTTCTTGAATGAAATTTGTTTCAAATGTTATCTAACCATCAAAATATCCTTATCAAATATTATGATAAGCTGTACTCGAGATGATATGACGCTGTTAATATCTCATACTCTCCTATGACTATCGATTATTCAACTAGCACAAGGATTTTTGCAATACTTCGTCGATGAACATTTCGGTGTTCCCGCTGCTCGTTTGCCCCTTATCTTATATAAAAAGTACTTTCTTACAGTAAACTAAAACACAGATAAAGGTTACTTAGATTTAGAACTTCATTAGAATAACCTTTATGGTGTAGCCTTTAAATTACAAAATCAATGTCACACTAGCCTGTTATTTACTAGCGTGTTATTTTCCCTAAACAAAACACGAATACGAAGTCAGCGAAGGAGAACTTGCTGTACGCATATTTAGTTATCTATCCTTTACTTTACAGGATAAGTTCAAGGTATGCGACATTCTAATCATACAAATGAGTTTTGAGCATTTCGAAGCTAAGGATGCATTGACAATTTAATAAAACACAATATTAGGTTACTCCAGAACTCATTATTATTATCCCTTACATTCTCTTTTATAAAATAGAGACTACAATTTGTATATATACAAGTATCTGCAGTGGAAACTCGCAGTTGGATGTAAATAAACACTGAATTGCATTCATGCAGGTGCGACGGATGAACGCTATTGGAGTTGGCGCTGATTGCTCTGTAATCATCATTACACGAATCGTATTTGACGAGGCTGAAGCAATTTGGTATTCGATTCAACAAATAGTACTTAATATTCACGTATCTATTTATTTTATTGTTTATATCAACGCGATTCTTTTGGTATTTTACTTTGGCAACATAAAATATGTTTAACGTTTATGCGTAAAAGTATTTTATTTTAACAGTGCGTGTGAATAAAATGGTGTTGCATATTTTGTCGAATTCATAACAAATCCATTGGAGGTTTAAAACATTTTCGTGGCTATTACCCAAATTCGAATGGGCGTTTTTATAACGCGTGATAAAATAGCGTTAAAACAGGAGAAATGCATTTCAAATTAAAATATTTTTCAAAACGTGTATGTAAAGACAATTAGTGTAAGTTCATGATATATTTTATTAAGTATTGTTTGTTTTAACTACGTCTCTAGAGGAATATATTTCATTCACACTAGCGATATATGTCCTATTTACAACTTTATTGGTCAACAATGGTCGATTGAGGATATGGTCACTTCGCTATATCACTCGTTTTTAAACACACAATGTGCACAGACGTAACAATACAAACCTTATAAAATCAATAAATAAAAGTTATTAATAATGTACTTCTTGTGGAAAGCGTTTGTATTTTTAATTTTCTTATCCAGTATACAATGCGCTGTGGTGAAAAGGAAAACTTATTCTGAGTTAAGGTCTTGTGATATTGGTGGCTTGGCAGATGAAATTGCTTCCTATGATACCGTCGTCAAAGATATTATCGAATACGTCTCCGGGCCGTTCAAGGGGAAGACATACGATGAGTAAGTGCCCTTAGCTATTTAAGATCGATTGTCAAGGGACGTGTGATATTTCATCTTCTTGTTTTGTTTTGTGATAAAATTTGAGGACTTTTGTCTCGGTCCTTTTGATAAACAAACCGGAGTGCTCTAAAAGAAGAAAGAAATCCATTAACTAATTTGTAAGGTTTTGTAGATGTAAAAAAATATGTTACGTTGCAGAATTGTACATCTTTGTTCATAAATGTACGTTTTTTATGCAAATATGCATACTTAAGATAATATTCACTATCTTATAGTAATAATGCTTGGATATTCAAGAATCAATTGATAACTTAGACAAGACAATCTATGTTATACGTATCTTTTTGTGCCGACACTTCTTATCAAAATCAGCTTAAATAGGACTGTTATGTTTCAAAATGTTAGTCTTCAACACAACATCCAAAAGATGCTTGTCCTTAGAATTTTAATTTATCTTTTCATTTTTGTGGTAAGCCATGCAAGGCACGTTTCCAAAACTTCCGACATTTGTAAGACATTGTTAAGCGAAGACTTAGTTAACGAAATTGCATCTTATGAAAATGTAAAAGAAGAGATTCTTAAATATGTGAAGGAAGGTGATTTTAAGCATAAAACTTATGATGAGTAAGTACTTAGATACTTTTTAGGGCCCTAACCAAAGTAACTTTAGATTTTTTTTTTTCGTATTTTCGTATCGATTTTTTTTTTTTTTTAGACATTTCGTGTGTATGAAATTCACAGATATTCTTTTTGTTTTTACAGGTTAGCTAAATTCGTAGATAAATTTGGAGCCCGACCATCAGGTTCTGTAGTGTTAGAAGACTCAATAGACTACATGATTCAACTTACCCAAGAAGAGGGTATTACTGACATAACCTTAGAGGACGTAGAGGTATTGAGCAAAAAATGGTGTTAAATATTTATCATGCTTCAGTTATACGGTTTAAATCATTCAATGTGTTTTCCAATTTCAGGTTCCACATTGGGTTCGAGGAAATGAAGTTGCTACTATGCTCAAACCTAGAGAAAAAAATATTGCTTTGTTAGGACTTGGAAGAAGTGCTAGTACTCCAGAAGAAGGAATCACCGCTCAAGTCGTTGTCATGTCAAGTTTTGAAAACTTGGATGCCGCAAAATATGAAGATATAGAAGGAAAGATTGTACTATATGATCCTGTTTTTACGACGTATGGTGATACTGTGGTTTACAGATCTCAAGGAGCTACCAAAGCGGCAGAAAAAGGAGCAGTGGCAGCTCTAGTAAGATCAATAGCTCCATTTTCTATAAACTCTCCACACACCGGCTCTCAGACCTATGGTGAGAATGTAACAAAAATACCAACAGCTGCAATTACTCTTGAAGATGCTGACTTGATAAGAAGATTATACAATAGAGGAGAAACTGTCGAATTAAATATAAAAATGTCGTCGACGTTCGATATTAAAACGTCACGAAATACAATTATCGACTTAAAGGGTATTGAGAAGCCGGAGAAACTTGTAATTGTATCTGGACATATTGATAGTTGGGATGTCGGTCAGGGAGCTATGGACGATGGAGGCGGTCTATTTGTTAGTTGGGCAGCTCCCGTTATTCTAAAACATTTAAATTTAAGACCAAGAAGAACTGTTAGGTCTATTTTCTGGACAGCTGAAGAATTGGGATTAGTAGGTGCATATGCGTACGAAGAGAAGCATAGAAATGAGAGTTCCAATATTAATTTTATCATGGAATCTGACGAGGGTACTTTTGCGCCGCTTGGTTTGGCAGTAGCTGGCACCCAAGAAGCTCGATGCATTGTTGCAGAAATATTAAAGTTGTTTGACTCTATTAATGCATCCACTTTGGTAGAAGATGATAGCCCAGGATCTGATATTGCAGTTATAATTAAAAACGGTGTTCCCGGTGCTAGCTTACACAACGCTAATGAAAAATATTTCTGGTTCCACCACACCGAAGGAGATACTATGAATGTCGAAGACCCGGATGAGTTAGATCTTTGCACTGCTTTTTGGACTGCTGTTTCTTATATAATTGCAGATATTTCTGTAGATATTCCACGATAATGTTTTTTCCGTCTTCAAGAATACGCAAATTATAAAATAATTGTGTACAATTAAATATAAGGATGATACACAAAACAATGTTTTATTTAAGCGTAATCTAATATTTTAGTTTCAAAATTCGTGTTTTTATCTGGTGCGTTATTGCTACAAACTAGCTAAAGTGTGACGACTAGTGACACGATTGCAATTTATATTTAACACTTTGATGCCATTAAAAGAGAGTTAATATCCATACATGAAAATGTAATAACAATGTTACGAAATATAATAGAAACTGGTCCTACCTTTGCTATTCTTTAGAACGTCTATAACTAAGATGAAATAAACACAAACAATATAGTTGTCTTAAGCTCCATTTTAAGCTTAATCTTCGTACAGTTACAAATAAACATTTGTTTTTTTTTTTAAATGACAGACACAGAATGTATTATAATAAAATCGTTATAATATAACAGCTATGAATAAAAATCCACCAAAAAATCTCAAACTTTACATGAAAGTTGTTCCTTCAAAAGTACAAAGAACTTTAAATTTCTCCTTGTTCGTGAATTTTTGCGTCGAAAATCTATCTGGCGCTCGTCCAACAATCGGAGTTTCCATTTGGATGCAAATATTGGACCAATACTTTTTGGCTAACATAAACTCAGTCACGTCGGACGTGAAATATCGTAACAGTTTGAACATATCTTAGCGAGTTTCGATATAAAAGATAAAATAGTAATACCGGACGCCTCGTATACATTGAGAAGTTTAAAACTGCGTCTTCGTTTATTAATTAACGCTTACCTTATGTTCTACAAAGCATAATACCGAAAAATATCATTCCTAATTTGCATGTGTTTTTTACTGACTTCCCAAAAGAAACAAGTTGGTGTTATTCATGTAGAAAGCCCACGTATAAATATCATTGTCTACCGAGGCCGCCATCGACATCAAAGTAATAATAATTGTACATTATAGACATAACAGGTACAATAAGGGAGATCTAATTAATTCACGGAATTATTTCGTTAATTTTTACTTACACAAAGTGAACATGTCTCCTTCCTTTACGGTTAGTCCACTTTCCCTTCCCATGTATTTCTTACAAGAAAAGGGTGGTAAGGGAAAGTACTAAAAATATGTCTCCGGTACGCAATATTGGATAGCTCAAAAATTCTGAGTTCACAAAAATTCGTTTGCCGTCAAGCGACGCGGACGGCGCGACGGTGAAATTGTGAGACGCCGGCGGCATTTCCACAAATCGCGCTCTATTGTTTCTTTGTAAAACCAAACTCACATGTTTTCTCTTTGTTGTTTCATTACAACCAAAACTTTCTTGTTTATCGTTCTACATACATATTTGGTCTATATGTCTTAAATTTTAAAAATTTTAACTAACGCCTAAAAATACCCGTTAGTTAAAAATAATTTTCTGTTTGCACAAACAAATCGATATTGCATATGGATATGAAATGGGTATGTTCATGAATACCTATTCGATTTTCGAAATGATTTACGACATAGTTGCGCTCTAGTGGCTGTATATTCCCTGAACAGAATTATTTGCGCAATTTGGGATATTGGAAACTGGGAAATGGGAATATACGAGCAAGAACGTTTATTCGCATGGTCTTAACAAATTTATTAGTACGTTATTTTCGATGGCAGTAACATATAGATGCATGTGCATTCAACATGCATTTTGTGTATATTTGTGTTTTAATGAAATTCAAGTGTAATTAACACTTGTAATAACAGTTAATTATAAAAATAGATAGACCTCAGGTATAGCATTAAGTAAAACCTACACCAGTGGTATGGAAAGAGCACCCGTTCACTTTTCATAGCCGCGGTGTCAAGAATTAAAGTTGACCAAATGATCGCCAAACTTCGAAAGAAGATGGTACTTTAAGAAGAATGTAGCCTTGCTCAAAAAAATGTTACAAAGACTAAAACAGCTAATACAAATGTTTTAAGTAACTATTATTGCAATTATAGGTAATTTTTAAAATTCACTTAGTTTAAAATCACAATATGTTGTTATTAACAGAATATTTTTTCCCTCTAGATTAATTTAATTTAAGGGAGCAAAAGGTTAATTTGAATCAGGTTTAGCGCTTCATCATCATCTGTAGAACAGTTTATAATATAACGACCGTATGTGAAATCAAAATTGCTTATTCAGAAGGATTTAGGACATGTAAGCATATTAAACGCCTACGATATTGGATCGCGGCCTTAATTTGAAATTAAATAACGCCGAGAATTTAGCTCATCGAATAACGATATTAAAATTGTAAATTATGCCTCAAAAAGGCGGTAAATGAGTAAACGAGTATTAAAATAAAAATACCAATATTTTATTGGTAATAATGTCTTACATGTTTGAAAAAAATACAGATATTCTGAACGCAAATTGTACACATAAAGCAATCATTATGGCAGAAAAATTCCTCGACACTATAGAGGGCTTTCTGGATTAGCCAGGACTTAAGTTTATTTTTAAATAACGCGAGGCTGGTAGCCACCGTGACGTGGTCCGGCAGATGGGCCCCATGACGTGCGTAGATTTTTCGGTCTTAATGTATCTTATGCTTGGGTTAAGTCATTAAAGAGAGTATTTTCTATTTCTAATTATCCGGCTAGTTATTAATATTAGGAAAAAAAAAAGACTGCTTGCTATAACAGTAGGTACGAAAGATTTAAAAATATTCCTTTAAATGGTAATTTATTTCTACTAATCTAACTAAAATAAGTGGTGAAATTCGCGTAATGTGCACATACTCGTACAAAGGGAAGCATTTATTCATGCGGGCTTTGGTTAAATTTATAGCTTGTCGGAGAATTTATATCAGAGATATCTTAGAAAAGGGAACTCTACAAATTATAAGTACACTGTACGAAAAGGAAATTATGTTAAGAATTAAATTTTGTGGTATTTTTTTAATTAAAACACGTTTTAATATCTGTTATTCTCTATTATGTAGATACTAAATGTTCCCGAACTATTCTATGAATTTATGAATTTCAGTTGGCTCCGTTATCGCGGGGCCTGTTGGAAATAAAGTATTCAATATTCAAATGGCGGTCTCGTGTACTTTCATTCTTTTAATATTTAATAGAGGTCACCTGGAAACAAAAGTAAGTCGCTTTCGCATGTTTTATGTAAAGCAGTGAAGGTATACGGAAATTATTTTATTATATATCCCTTAGTGAGATTTGTTATAACGTGTTACAACAGATTTCATTTTGTAATAATCTTTGTAGCATAGTCTGGAAGAAAAAATAGTCTGCTTGTTAATTTTTTATTCAAAGTGGATGAAGCTCGACTCGGATGCTCTCGAGCAACAGTAGAATTGTAAAGTAGACTCTAGTAAGTGTCGTAGGAAGGCAAAAGTTGAGTACATTTGTGACTGTGCAGGTATTAAATTTATAATTAAATCACAACTGTGTGGTCCAACTTGTGTTCTGAAACTTGCAGTATAACAAGGCAGTTTTGACAGCTACCCTTTAGTTTCGAATATTTGAATGCTTGTTTAAAATAACAGTTTTCATCTCTAATTATACAGTTATCATGTAGAGAGGCATCCGGGAAATATTTAACAAACATAATAAGTAAACTTAAAATTGTCTATAATCTTTATCATTCAAACTAGCGTTTTCCCGCGACTCCGTCCGCGTGGAATTAAAAAAAAACAAAATTGAATAGCCTATGTGTTCATCCAGACTTCCCTCTAAGTTTACTCTAAATTTCGTCGAGATCTGTTGAGCCGTTTAGGCTACAAACTCTAACAAACATCCATCCATCTAAACTTTCGCTTTTATAATATTAGTAAGATTGTATACTCTATGGTAATTGATTTTCTATTTTTGTAACCTTTCTAATGGTATAAACAATACTTGTAAGATATTGCGTCTTATAAGCATGTTTGAACATATGTTTCCTGATTTATATCAAGACTAAGGGTTGTCTTAATTAAAGTAAATTATATAGAAACAGTTATTTCACACGTGTCGCGTGCGGTTCCAGTATTAATGTTGAACGAAATTCCTTCGCATAATTAAGTTTCGCTGATTAACATAAACACTTATTAAGTAATTAATTAAAAAAATACAGTAGCCCTTCTTGATACAAACTTTATTTTTATATCCGTGCTAAATAAAATAGTACTATATATTAAGCTTTAAGCTATAAATTTAATCGACACGGAAAACCTACAAAAGCTATCTGAATCGTTGCAAATTAAGAACAAATGGCGCAAGTAGATTTATGTCCAAACCCCCAACTGGAAAGGGGAATAAAGAAAATTACACTGTAAATTACTACAATTAAGACTTTGCTCATTTAAATTGCCGCGAAATATCTGGCTAATGTTTGAATTAACCTAACTTAGGCCACATTTCAAAATTAAACCTTACTAATATTATAAATGCGAAAGTTTAGATGTATGTTTGTTTAAGTTTGTAGCGTAAACTGCTAACCGGATCTCGATGAAATTTGGCATAGATGTAGAGGATAGTCTGGAAGTACACATAGGATACTTTCATATATTTTTTTATTCCACGCAGACGGAGTCGCTGGCGAAAGCTAGTTATTCCACGCAGACGGAGCCGCTGGCGAAAGCTAGTTGTAAATAAATTAGGTAGAATATCCATTAGGTTTTTAATGTCACAGAGATAACAATTACATTATTATTTTCTGTATAGGCACAATTAATGAATTAATATAACACGTGTAGTTTGGCTCTAGATTAATTAATAAGAGAGTTAGGGACGTGAGAAGTTCAATGTTTGGACTAAGTAATTGATTTAGCGATGCCATAGAGCAAAACAATGTAAGGCTTTATGAATATATTATCAGTTGCCACTAGTATGTAGGGATTACGAATGGGATTGTTTAAAAATAAATATCTATCCTTATTATAATAAAGCGTAAACACACACTTCTTTGTTGCGATTGATATCACATATTGTAAATAAATCTAGCCTGCATTAATCTAGAAAGCTTACAGTAAATTCCTCTCGTCAATATTATAAGGGTTATCAAAGAACTGTGACTACAAATTTAATTAGAATTTGACATTTAA